CCGGGAAGCATCTTCCATCACGGAGTAGGGGCGGGGGACGGGCGGGAGAGGTGGGACAAGTGGCAGAGTGGTTGAATGCTCACTAATTCATCTGTCGCCCAGTTAACTTTCTCACACAAATTACACACCAGACAGGACAACAGCTATCAATATCTAGTGGTGGCAAACAGTGCGCTTAAGGTGAGTAGTAGTAGGAAGTGAGCAGTTCACAAAATCACTGCTCTCGGCTTCATTGTGTTCCACTTACAGGACAGGAGATGAGTATGAGAGGGACACGCCCGCAAAGACACAGCCAAGTATAGAGACGCGCACGCCACAAATCAGGCCTCTTGACGTCAAAAGTCAGAACCTGCAGACGGAAACCTTGTCCACTTCAGGAGGCGGTAATGCGGTTTCACGCTCCGCGACTACAGCGATAAGAGAGGACTGGTTTGAGATCTGAGGACTTACAGGCTTCCGAGGGCATGAGCTTCTGCTACTGCTTTCTGCTCATATCTCTGATGAGGAATCCGTGAAGGATGTCGAAACGTCAGCCGAATAAAAGTATTGTCCCAGCGATCGAATCTTCTTCTCAAATACTCAGTTGTATAGAAGGAGAAGACGCTTCGATCACCGTAATCTTAATTTTATTATTCTGAGCAAGAATCTGAAAGGTCAGAATAATGAAATTATGCTGATGGGGATCAAAACACCTTCTTATTTTTCTATACACATACTAGGGATGCGAACATTTACCTAAATATTCAGTTGTGTCGTTTAATTTTCGCTAGTCCATCATTTATTCGTTATACATCAGTGGTTGGCAACATTCCGCAGAACTCGTTCTGGTATGAAAGTACTGAAAATCTAAAATAACATTTCCCTTAATGCGCTTCTTCTCCATCGAATGTACATTTCCATCGCGACGACTTTCTGTAGAGGAGGATGTGTCAACCCCTATGCCGGAGGACAATGATGAAGATAGTTCGTGAAGTAGATTTCATTGGTTGTCGTTGCAACTGAGCAAGCGTGAATTTAGGCGAATCCCACCTTTGAATAATACGCGTCAGATATCTTATAGTTGAAGGTGTGTCAACCGACAAATCAATTTGGTTATGTTAAATCTCAGGCGACAATGTAACCAGTGAAATAAAGCAAGCCATTAGTAAATATTTTAAATCAATCCAATTTTATGATATGGCCATAGTGGACGACGTCACACATGATTGCCTACATTTAAAGTTCACACCGTT